TGCCCGCCTCGCGCGTCTGACCCAGCCGCGGGGGCAGGCGGGGGTCTGTGCTCCCCAGCTGCTGCGGGCGCAGCCCGGCTGCGTGTTGGGCGCGGGGGCGCTGGCCACCTCCCCTACCTGGAAGTTGCCCTTGTGGGTGTTGAAGAGCTCGTCGAAGGTCTTGCTGGGGTTGGGCACCTGGGGCATGAAGACGATCCACACTCTGCAATGGGAGACGCAGTCAGTGGGGAGCCCCTGCCAAAGCCCTCCCCTGCCCCCTGCTCCCCATGGACACGGCCCCAGGCACACGCGCTCTTCCCAGCCCCTGCACTCGCCTCTCCATGCGGACTAGCATCACGACGAGCATCAGCAGCACCACGCCAGAGACCACTGGGATCAGGACTGTCCGCACCCAGTACCGCTCCCCGGTGGAGCCTGCGGGGGCAGGCCAGGGTCAGCCTGGCCTTGCTAACTGGTGGGCGGGTGGGCCGCACCAGTGTGGGCAGGGCCGGGCCCAGGGGGCTTGCGCGGCTCGGGCTGGGGCCTGGATGGCAGGAGGGAGCCTGGGGGCGGTGGGGACTGGGCTGCATCTCCCCCCGGCGGTGGGGGGTGACCCGCCTGGCCAGAGGGATGGGGGGCTGGGGTCAGGCAGCAAGCTGCTGACCGGGGCTCAGCAACGGGGTGTGCTGTGGCCGTGGCCATGGGCATCTCCACAGCCTCTGGCAGCAGGGCCTGTGTGGTGACCCCTGGCACGGCCCCGTGTCCCTCCCGCCACGGGCGCCCCCAGCACTCACCGTGGGCCATTGCGTTGCCCCAGTACACGGGGACGCTCCACTCGCTCCAGAGCTGCGTGGAGCCGCAGTACTGGTTGATCTTGCTGCGCACCTGGAAGGTGTACTTCTTCTCCTCGTCAATGCTGGGGAAGGAGAACAGCTCGCCGCTCACCCCGTGCACCTGCAGAGACGCACAGGTCTGGGGTCCGGGTGGCACGTGGCTGCGGGGGGGCCGCAGCACAGAGCTCTGCCCCCGAGACGTGGGGAGATGGGCTTGGCCATGGCCCCTCTAGTCCCCCTTCCCAGGGCCCGGGCTTGGCCCGCTCCCCCCCCGACATCGCTCCCGGGTGGGAGGTGAGGGGCCCAGCCGGCAGCTTTACCATCCAGTCCGTGTCCTTGTTGCTCTTGTAGCGCACGGCATGCTCCACGCAGCGTGGGTTGGGGTATGGCGTCTGCCAGCTCACCTGCAGCTGATGGTTGCTCATGTTCTGGAGCGTGAGGTTCACCGGCGGGTCGGGCTTCACTGCAGCGAGCACACGCGGGGTCTTGGTGGGCCACCAAACACCCCCCGCCCCAGGCCGACCCGCAGCTTGGGCCAGCGCCGGGGCATGGCCTGGAAACCTCCCCCTGCCCACGGACAAAGGGAGCCCGTACCCCAACCCTGTGCGCTCCCCGATCCCCAAGCGTCCACTTGTTGCTTGGTGGTGCCACATCCCTGCCAGGTCCTGACCCCAGGGCTGGGCTGGCACAGGAGCTGAGGTCCAGCCAGAGCACGGCCCTTCACCCTGGCTGTTTGGGCTGCAGGGTCAGGAGGAGACCCGAGCTCTGCCCAGAGCTCCCACCTCACCCCAAGGGTCCTGCGGGGCAGTGGAGGCCCTTGGGGAGACCTCCTGGGGCAGAAGCCGGCCATACCAAGGTCCTGGAGCTTCATGGCGTAGGTGGGGATGACTTGGGTCTTGCTGCCGAGGCTTGCGTTGATGTGGACCCGGAAGGTCTGGAACGGCGTGATCTCGCTGCGGTTGAACCAGCAGCCCGTGTTGACGCCGTTGTGCTGCAGGTAACGCTGGCACTCGGTTGCTACCGGCTGATGCTGGTACCTGCACAGAGGTGGGCGGGTGAGAAGACCCACGCGCTCCTGGCGGGGACCGGGTCAGGGATCTGACCAGGGAAGCGGTTCTCTACGGCCCTGGCAGCTCCCTGCGACCAGCGCATCTGCTTCAGGGCTGCCCCGTGGAAGGGCAGGAACCGGCTCAACAGACGCCCAGACCCCACAGGCGAGGACTGCATTAACATGGGACTATGTAAAGGGTGCTGGTACTACAGGAAGACAGAAGAGGACCACAGGACAGAAATAGCAGAGCCCACCCGGGGGCAAGGGGCCTGGCATAGACTGTTTCAGGGGCAGGCTCTCTGGGGAGGGCTGAGCGAGAGGAGGGGGATGGAGATGGGTGCATGGTGCAAACTGTGTAACCGGTTTTTAATGGTTTAACTGTCAAAGTGTGCTTTGATCTGCCAAGTGAACCACAAAGGCCGCTTAGCAGAGCGTTGAAGATGAAGTTATATATATATATTTTTTTTTTTTTCTTTTTTTTAAAGAAAGGATGGGCAGGTGGGTCCCCTGCGCACTGCCACCAGCCCCACTGCCCCCGGGGCACAAGCTGTCCTTCCCTGGGCCATGCACCACCGTAGCCCGGAGGCCATGGGGCTGCCCTGCAGGCGTCCTGCACCAGATGCTCACGGGCTGAGCCAGGGGCACGTGTGGCCTGGGGGCGGCTGCCGGCACCGTGCGGGCAGAGCCTGGGGGACGCCCGCGGCCACAGGACTGGGCTGCAGGGGCTATGGCAGGCCGCCCTGGCCGGAGCTCTTGCAAAAGGTGGGGGCGGGGGCGGGGACATACCAGTAGTAGAGTGAGTAGTTGGCAACCGGCTGGTCCTCCTGGTTGCCCCACATGCAGGTCATGTACTCATCGTTGAAGACCACGCACTTCACGCCTGCAGGACAGGTGTGAAGTGAGCAGAGCAGAGTGGGGCAGCTGAGCTGCCGGCCTGCGGCCCTGGCGACCCGCAGGCCCCCAAGCCACCGCAGCAAGCTCCCAGCTGGGGCAGCACAGGCCCCAGAGCCCCCAGAGAAGGCCGCACACCCTGGCTGGGGAATGGGCTGAGCGGGCCGGGGGCTGACCCTGCCGCCCACCCACCGTGCTGTCCTGCCCGCGCTAATCATGCCGTGTGCCCAGGGCAGATGCCAGCCAGGCCCCGCACAATCTGGGGGCTGTGGCGAGCTTGGGACAGCCCAGCTGAAGGATGAGGCAAGATGCTTCAGGGGCCAAAAGGCATCTTACGTGGGCAGCCCGGCCGCGTGGGCTCTGTGGTGCCGGACAGGCTGGAGCAGGCTGCGCCAGCCCTGCACTGTAGCAACGGCCGCGGCCCACGTAGGAGACCTGATGTGCAGCAAGGTGGGTTTGTGCTCTGGGGTCGCTCTGCCCCCCCGGAGCCCCCAATCCTGCACAAGAGACTTCATCCTGCCACATCCCACGGTCCACCCTCTCCTGCGGCATGGCCGTGCCCTGCAGGCTTGGTCCAGAGCTTCCCGCTGCCCCGGCTCTGCTGGGGCAAGGCCAGAGCGGGCCGGACCTCGGCTGGCGGCTGCACGGGCAGCCCAGTGCTGACTGGCGCGGGTCGCTGCCAGACCGCTCTCCAGAGCCCTGGGGTGAAAACACCCGGCTTCGGCTGCTGCTCGCTGCGGGGCCTGGGCAGGAGGGGGCGAACGCAGCCCCAGGGTGCCTGGAGCAACCTGGCACAGCGGCTTGTGCTGCCAATGTGGCTGGGTTCAGGGCAGAGGAGAGGAGGTGTCCTGGGGTGCCCGGGAGCTCCCAAAGGCAGCTGTCTCGTGCACGGGGACTGGGAGATGGGCACCATGTGGGCACAGGCTGGGGTGAAGCTGAGGTGCCCACGCACTCCATCGGCTGCAGCCCGCACCGTGCTGGGCAGCTCAGCTCTGTACCAAGCCAGGCCTCCGTCTTCCTGGCTGCAGGACGCTACCCAGGACCTGGCGTCCCAGGGCTGTGCAGCCACAGCCCCGGTGCTGCTCCTTGTGCAGACAGGCCCGGGCCGGGCCCCAGGCTTGCAGGCGGCTGAGCCCAGCCCCACTGCACGCGCCACAGGCCGAAGGGCGGGCAGCTGCCCGGAGCCCGTCTCCCTCTGCTCCCTGCAGCCCGGCCCTCACGCCCTGCCCCGGGCCACATGTCTGCCTTGTCCAGCCAGCGGCCCGGGGACTCTTCAGCCACCCCCACTGGCTGCTTGAGCTCCCCTCCAGGCCTCTCGTCCTCTCCGCAAACCACGCGGCTGGTCAAGGCCACAGGGTGCCACGACCCCTGGCAGCCGCACCGTCCCCCCGCAGGCACGATGGCATTCGCGCCAGTGGCCAGGCACAGCTGGAGAGCCGTGGTCAGAGCTACCCACGCCAGTGCGCTCGCCATCACCACTTCGGGGTGGCCCCAAGGGCCGTCCACCCTGAGACGAGCTGACTAGAGACCTGGCTTCACGCTGCTCCTGACCCTGGGAGCCACCTTTCCTGGGAGGACGCTTAGAAAGGACAGAGGCAGAAGCAGGCTAGCGAGGAGCTTGCACTCGGTGCCTCGTGCCCGCTGGCTCCAGCCCGGCGAGCACGGCGCATCTGAATCCGGCCGGCCGTGAAGTGAGGGTAGGGGCTGCGCAGAAGCCAGAGACATCCCGAGCCATTCCTATGCCTGCCCCATCCCTGCTGCCACTAGGCCGGGGCCTGCCCACGGGCAGTGAGGGGTTCCCAGGGGGCCCGACCCTGCATGACGTGTCCACCGAGTCCTGCGGCTTCCTGGACAAGAGGCCGCAGAGGCTGCCTCGGCGCTGACGTGAGCGTGGGCTGAAGCAGACTCATGCCGAGGCGGCTCTGCCGCTGCAGCTGTGCGCCTCTGTCCAGATCGCTATCAGGCCTCACTTCCTGCCGCCCCCTCGCCCCCGCCCCCCCACAAGGGGCTCCGCAAAGCTCCGTCCCGTCGCGCTCCCGCGACCAGCTGCGGGCGGCCAGGAGCCAGCCTGCCCGGCACGAGCCTGGCACCCTTGGGGCCTGCGCTTCGGCGCATCCCCACAATGCATGGGGGAGGGATGGGCCGACGGGTTTGTGGTGGGGAGAATCAGCGCTGAGACGAGCCCACGGCCACTTGCCCAGGGGTCTCTGCTGTGCCAGAGCAGGGGGAGGCAGGCACGAAGTGGCAGTGGGATGAGATGCAGCGGTGGGCGCAGGGCATCCGTGTGCCGGGAAGGCCGGGCAGACCTGAGCTGGGCCTTGCTGCCCTGCAGGTGCCGACCCCCCTGTGCATCTGGGCAATCAGTGACCATGGGGGGCTCCTGGGCATGGACAAGCAGAGCCAGGCCATGGTGGTGGCTGGTAGAAGCAGCAGCTGTTGCCAAGGGGAAGGGCATTGAAAGGAACAACATGGGGCCCAGGAGTGGGAATGGGGCTTCAACCAGGAAGGGGCTGCTCAGCCGCCGCAGGGGGCTGAGCCAACGCCAGCTAGGCCTGGCCTAAGGGACGAGGCTTGGCTGGACTGAGGTGCCTGCGGCCACTGGGCAATGCCTGCAACGGCTCGGGGGGAGAAGTGGGTGGCTCCAGCTGGTCCCAAGCCCCAGCGCCTGAAGCAGCAGCAACACTGCTTGGCACCCGCGCGGCTCCTGCCGGGTCAGACTCGCCAGCCTGGGGCCGTCCAAGGACATCTCAGCGCCCCCGGCCAAGGCAGCAATCGCAGGGGTGCGTGGGCAGCTGTTCAGCTCAATGCATTCGGGGCCAGAGCAGCCTGGGGAGATGCCGCAGGTTGACATTGCCAGGAGGAGCCAGACCCTGATTTTCACGCAGCCTCACCCGCTGCCCCAGACATGCGGCAGAGCCCGGGGGGCCCGTGCCGGTGCTACATACTGCCCCACGGACAGGAGCCGGGGCTGGAGACGCGCTGGCAGGGATATCACCCTGCCCTGCCCCAGAGAGGCGACCCGCCTGGTGCCCCGCAGGCAGCCGGCCGGCCACAGTGGCACCGTGCTCGCTGCTGCAAGCTGCTACGAGCCAGACGCCCGAGGGAGGCAACGTGCGGGATGTGGCGGATGCAGCTGCCCGTGGCCCTGTCTGCCACGCACCTAGCCCTCCTCTGTGGGCCCAAAGCCGGGCGGGGGCCGGCCTCTGGGGCAGCCAGACCAGACCCCACCAGGCAGCGAGAGACCCAGAGCCCTGCCACGCGGCCCGTGGGCAGGCTGAGCAGCCCTGGAGGGGATGGCCCGTCCTGCCCGGGTCCGAGGCCCGTGGCTCCAGCTGCGTCAGATGCCACCATCCCGTGCCAGTGGGGCATGTGCTCGCCCCGACGCGCGCCCTGCGTTCCTGGCCCGTCCCGGGACGGGTCGAGGCCGCGCGCACTTCCTTTCCCGGCAGGGCTCGGATGGGAGGAGCCGATCCGAGAGCAGCTGTTACCTTGTGAGCCGGGGGCAGCCATGCCCAGCTGGCCGAGGCCACAGAGCAGCAGCACCGCCAGGATCATGTCCGCAGCCTCCTGCGCTGCCAGGAAGGTGCCGCGCCGCAGCTGGAGGGACGGGAGCAGCCCCAGCCGCGCAGCCGAGCCGCCTGTGTCTCTGCCTTGAGCCCGGCACTGTTGCTGCGAAGCAGGAACCGCCACACGCCCGTGACTCACCACTTCCTGTGGAAAACCCGGCCTGCCACGGGGCCCCACGGCAGCTCTGGTGCGCCACAGCTCGGGCACCAGAGAGCAGGGGCCGGCCAGGCCAGATGGGCAGGGGCAGGGCCCCCAGCGCTGACCAGACCCATGGCCGTGGGGCACAAACACAGCCACGATGGAGGCAGCTGGCTGGCCATGCCACGGCCCCTCAGGCTGGGCCTGCACAGACCCTGGCCCTCCCCACCAGCCTGGGCGTGGGATGCTGCCACCAATCACCAGTGTGGACACGGGGCGTGGGCCCAGACGTGGGGCATGGGGCCTGGCCTCGCTACCAGCACTGGCACGTGAGCATGTGGTGTAGGCCCAGACGTGGGACACAGGGTATAAGCCTGCCACCAGTGCGGGCACCCACGGCCAGGCCACACGTGTGTGGCCACATGGCATGGGCCCAGACAGGGGCAGGGGTCACTGTGGACATGGGGCGTGGCCCGAGCGCGGAGCCAGGAGACGCCGCAAGGGGGCGCGGCCGGGCTGCCCCGGCGGCGCTCGGCATTTTCCGTGACAGCGAGTGCTGTTCGGCTCTTTCCGTGGCCACCGTGGCCGGCTCGAGCAGCTCCGGCGGCGCTCGGCCATTTCCGGCGACGCTCGGCATTTTCCGTGACAGCGAGTGCTGTTCGGCTCTTTCCGTGGCCACCGTGGCCGGCTCGAGCAGCTCCGGCGCCGCTCGGCCATTTCCGGCAACGCTCGGCATTTTCCGTGACAGCGAGTGCTGTTCGGCTCTTTCCGTGGCCACCGTGGCCGGCTCGAGCAGCTCCGGCGCCGCTCGGCCATTTCCGGCAACGCTCGGCATTTTCCGTGACAGCGAGTGCCGTTCGGCTCTTTCCGTGGCCGGCTCCAGCAGGTCCGGGGGCGCTCGGCCTTTTCCGGCGACGCTCGGCAATTTCCGTGACCTCCGAGGCCGGCTCGTGTCCTTCCGGCAGCCCTCGGCCGTTTCCGGCGGCGCTCGGCCCGGCGGAGCCGTGTTGTGGCCGCCCCCCCCCCC